GGTTTCTTTACCCCTTTTTCACCCAATAAGAAAAAATACGTCCAAATGTTTTCTCGAGAACTATGTCTCGCACAAGTTTCACCAAAAGCGGTGTGCGTTGGTTGAAAAGGTTCTCTTGTAAGACCAATGCGCTAACTCTCGAACATAGAACAAAATCATTAAACAGTATTTCTCACCGTATCGAATTTACACGTTTCGGAGTTCGAGTCTCCAAAGGAGTATCACTTTCGACGGGACACCGTCGTCTCGTTTTACTTCATCCCCGGACGAGTTCGCCTCCCATCGACTCGAACAAGATCATTATCGAAGTTAATCGGCTCTAATGAGGCATGTAAGCCGCGACTCCTTCCTATCCGTTAATTATTGCTAACACAGTTAAACGTTAGACCACGCGGAAAAAGGAAAAGAGTTGAGGAAGGAAACTTGGCAGGGGTGGCTCTGGCGCGCGAGCTCGCCCGTTTCAATAGAGGACGCGGGCTATTCGATTAGACGGCAAGGCCAATTACTCGAGGAACTCGTGGTGACGCTTGCCTGCATGGCTTGTCGCGCGCTTGATTTACAATTATCGATAATTAAGCAACCGGCCGAGTCGTTCGCCGCGTCCCGGCCATTCATCAATCGTTAAACTCGCCTTCCCCCGTTTTTTCCGCACCCTCCCGCTGTGCACGCCTGTTTCCGTCCTCGAGGTTTATCGATACTATAATCCGATAGACGATTAATTATCACGCGGAGTTAGCGGGATCTCTATACAAGGCGTGACGTAATTCATGACACGGCGGGGTGGACTCTTCGTGGAAAAATAAGCGAACAACGTTCGACACCTTGTCCTGTGATTTTTACCGCAACTGCGCTCGCTGGAATTAATTTCCCATTGATAGTTTCGACACTGGGGAAGTATTAACATATTATTCTATGGCATCCTGACGGACTCGCGATGGGAATTTTAAAGTGAATTTTACTGATCTAAAGGGTGTTTCTATGTTTTAATGTAAATTGAAAATTACATTTCTATTATCAATCGTTAAAATTTGCAGCAAATGTATATATAGGGCAAACATCAATCTCTTTTCTTTGTCTAACAAGTTATTAATGATGAAATAGTTACGCTAAGTGCAGCTATGAAGGAATAGGCCAAGGGGTTATAGGCTTTTTAGTCTACATTGAAAAGCAGCTTAACCGTCCGAGTGCCACTGGTCTTTGCAAAGTCCCGGTCGAAAAATGCCAAGCGGTGCGATCGCGCTCCTTTTGTTTTCGTTCAGAAACTGAATTACCCTGTTCTATTGTTGTATTAAAAAATTGCAAATAGCACGATCGTTAAACAATCTGTTAAGCACAGTTTTGACAGAATCAAATGGCAGGGGGTTAATAGAGCGGTATTCTCGAGCGGCCTTTGATAATTTGGAACTCAATTTCGAATGTTTGACGAACAAACGTTAGTAAAATCTTGTGGAATATTGGAATATTTGAGTAATAAAAATTATTGTTTCGCTGTTAAATTGGGTTAGATTGGTTTTGAACAAAATATTTGTGTAGGGCTTTAAAAGCTTTTGCAATTTCAATGCTTTTATACACAAACTCTATGTGCGTTTATTTCATATTTGTAGTACATAACTTTTGTTCAATTGTAGGCAATATTACAAGTTTCACACGCAATATTTTGCACATGCACCTCCATTTTAACGCTACATCCCTGTGGCATTTAAATATACACTTTTGAAAATTGTTCGCGACACCCAGCTGAGGTCCAGCGTGAGAATTGTCGGTAGTGAAAGGCTTTATGTACACTTTCTCATTTTTCGAAATATATGAAAATAAATTCTAAGTACACCACCTACGAGAATCTTCAATTCAACAATTTTTCGCTCATGGGGAATAAATAAACAACAGTATTCTTCCCGCGATTCGCAAAAATTTATTTTATTCGTTCGTTACATACGAAAAATGACAAATATATTATCCTAGAAAAATAAATTTGAAAGCAGAAACATCGAAAATCGATTCTGTACTATAGTGTATGTCCAATGAAGTCGGTAAGTGTGCTTAAGATTCCTGGCTAATCTGTATCTATGTGTAATTTATCCACCGTTATCCGATGTTACTCGAAGCAATTCGAAATTCATTGCCTCCGTTTTTAGTCGCGTCTCCGGAGTTCCTTTTTTCCGGAATAAATTACGCTGCTAACGTTGTTAGCTAACGAGAAACGGCCGTCTAAGGCGTTACCTCCTTTTTTTAGCTTCTCAAGATCTGTAGCTTCTTTGAGAAGAACGTCGGCCTCGACAGTAGGTAAATAATGTTTCGTATAATATTATCGTTCGTGTGAGAGAGGGAGAGGGAGAGAGAGGGAGAGGGA